AGAGCAGTTGTAAGCCTTTCGGCAGCCCTTTAGTCAAAAAGGTGGACACCGATATTGAGAAGCGAAATGAATTCGTAATTCGTGCCCGAGTCCCGGGGTCCCGGACTTCGGGGGATTCCACGCTCATGGCCTTTGACAAGAGCTCTCCGGGCCTCGGAACGGAAACTGGGCAAAAGGCCTGGCGCCCATTGTTTGCAAGCACAAGGATCCTTCATCCCTTGTCGTCAGGAAATTACCTCCATAGGGAGGCTTCTCAAGTTTGCCCACCAAATGAAACCTGGCGTTCACCCGACCGAATCGGAATACCAATGCCGATCGCCATTGATTCAAAAGTGAAACCACCACATTTCACGGCAAAACAAAAGTACAACCAAAAAATATATTCTCAGGCTTGAGAGGGGTTGCAAAGTTTCTATGCAAACCAATGCTTACCTCTTGGCTGAAGGGCCTTTAGCCATAGAAGCCGCCCAACCTGCCCAATAGTCAAGGCTTAAGCTTCCAGCCGTTTGGGCAGGGGGGTTGGTTCTGGCGGGTTGTGCGGTCCCAGAAGTTAAGTGCTAGGTCCTCCAGTAGAGAGGTTAGAAGAAGGGAACCTACTTTTTTCTGTAGTCTATTTTAGTAGGGGAACCGTCCTCCAAAACAGGGTAAAAGGGCACTACTGGGCAACCTAGAGTGAATCCCTATAGCACATCCTTGAGGGCGAGCTTTCAACAGGATGCCCTCAGGGCAGGTGATCGCAAGGTAAAAGTTGACCCGCCGTTTGTCGTGGTTTGCTTTGGGGATCGAAAGTTCAAACAACAGCGCTCTGTTTGTATGGCAACTAACGGAGCGTCGTTGCACCTAAATGGACCATACCGGGACTCTTTGAAGGAAGGGTACCACCTAGTCGCGACCGGTCCTTGTGGAAAGGGGCTAGCTGAAGTGAAACGTGTCGTACTGAAGCCTCCCTGACATTAAACTGGGAAGTTTGCCATAGAACAGTGGATGGACAAAAGCTTGCACCAGCGGGAAGGTGGCTTATCAACCAGTGATCAAATCGGGCTTCATCCATCCCAACTTGTGCGCAGCGGATTCTGTCCATCCATGGTGCGTCTTCTTGTTGTTGCTTTTTTGGTGGGGCCGAAAACACTGCTTGGTCCGTTCGTTCCTTCAGGAAACCTGAAAGTGTCTGCCTTTTGACCCATAATGGCGGGCCCCCGTTGGCCACTTGGGTGATACCACACCAGAGGGTCAAGAAAAATGAAGCCATAGGGTTTCAGACAATATAGATAGAGCTCAGTAGACGTGTTCGCTCATGCCTTGCCACGACCACCGTCTGTTGCCAAGAATAAAAGCAGGGTCCTAAAATAGGGGACCCCTACACATGGCTTCTTGATTTGTGGTTTCCTGTGAATCAAACCATCCAGCAGAGATCCCATACAGGACGCTCAAAGAGTTGCCTGTTGACTGATCTCCTTTTCGGATACATGGAAGGACTGAACGAGACGTTGTGAGTGCTGGATTGTTTCACTCCACTGAACCTTTCTGAACACCAAACCAATACAAAAGGAACCCCGTGCCGAAACCCGAGCGGAATCGCCGAATCCAAGCTCAGCCAGCCGCCGGTAGTCTTTCGAGGACGCCTTCGGAGCTCGAGAGAACCGTTGACTCAAATGAGTCTAACAGCAAGTTGGTGCCAACATTTGGGGGACCCCGCGAAATGGCTTCAGTTCTCCTTTTTGAAAAAAAAGAAAACACACCCCTATGGGCTTTGCTGAACACTGGTGAGCCAATTTGTGGAAAGTGCGCCCGCGCGCGCGGGCGTGCGTGAGTGCGTGCGTGCGTGCGTGGGTGGGTGGGTGGGTGGGTGGGTGGGTGGGTGGGTGGGTGGGTGGGTGCGTGCGTGCGTGCGTGCGTGCGTGCGTGTCTGTGTGAGTGTCTGTGTGTGTGTGTGTGTGTGTGTCTGTGTGTGTCTGTGTGTGTGTGTCTGTGTGTGTGTCTGTGTGTGTCTGTGTGTGTCTGTGTGTGTTTGTGTGTGTGTGTGCGCCTGACTGTACAAAACATGTTTGTTTGGCCTGTTAGAATCAGACTACAGGCCTAATGAGGGACTATAAACACGTCAAATGCGCGACCTTAAACACGACAGGTGCACGGGTTTACAGGCTTCAGACATGCTCCAGTCTCCGACACATAACCACGAGGTGAGAACACTGGCCTGACTTAGAGACCCTTCAATTTCGTTGACTTGTTCCAGGAGAACTAAGGAACTCGACAGCAAAAAGGTTAGTCGAGCGTCTGGGAAATGATCATAAGTATCTGAGGGTCCTCGCAAAGGCCTCAACTCGGAATGCGATAGGGTCAGTGGCTGCTCTGCTTTTCTTTTTGGTGTGTGTGTGTGAGGGGGGGTCCTGCATTCTGCTAAGAAGCAGACATAGCAAACTACATCCATTACATCGTGGGTGAATCGTCGATGAGAACAATCCTCGCAAGTGCCGATTGACAAACACATGGATACAACCTCCAACCTCAGTCATTTTGCTGTATAGCTAATCTAGTATCACCCTAACAGCTCATGCGGGTGGCAACAAACCACTAACAAACCACTGACTACCATCAATACTGCGGATTTGTAAAATCCTGCCCGCTATTTTACCCCTAATATTTACCAGATGTCATCCATCCCAACTGGCTGTCCATTGTTGCGGCATGTATCTTGACGAACCAAATCTGCGGCACCCATGCATCTCGGCCCGTTTGAACATCTATCCCCCAAGACAAATCACTCAAACAAGGCCCTGCCTGACAGAGAAATCAAAAGTCGAACAGTTTTCTACTTCGTGGGAAACATCTATTTTCGAAGGGGCTGAAAGGTGAGTTCGGTCACGCACACATGAGCCAAGTCTTGCAAGGATCCGGGTTGTCAAGCATCCTCATATACGATGGTGGCCTTACCAACCTGCATCTTTATTCAAGCAGGTGCCTTCGAACCAAACCGCTGCCAAGATTAAATATGGGCTTTTCTGATGGAATCCCTTGTAACCCTACAAAAACGACACACCATAGTAGGGTACCCGTGTTTGAATCAAAAGGGAAACGATCTTTGGGGAAGCCTTACGAGAAACGATTCGTGGCGCACCTTCGCCGCCGGCACCTCCTGGATGGACCTCAGCAGCGCAGCCGCTGATGCGCCCACCTCGGAGCCTGGCGCCCAGAAGCCTATCTCGCTTGTGTTCGAATCTGGTCGGTGCTTCTGGACAGATCAAACAGGGTGGTCTTTCGAAGCAGTTTCAGGGAAAATTCAAAGGGGGCTGGACTGCGCACGCCACAATGCGCGCACGGCTGTTTTCAGGCGTGCAGCCTCTGTACATCTACAGCTACGAGTTTGGCCAGGTCAAACTCTGGGCCGTCACGTGATGCCGCGTGCATTTCATCCGCGGTAGCGCCTCAGGCTGGACCAGTAGAATTCATGGCCACATCTGCACGTCATGTGGTCGCATCCACCGTCCTTTTCGATGGGCACTTGGCAGGTGGGGCACCGCTTGCAACCTTCGGGCAGATCCGGAAGGAGACCTTTCCACAGGTGGCTGGCAAGGCGAAAGAAAAATCGGAGGTAGGAGGGTTGTGGCTCCCATTGGTGCTCACACATGAAACACATGGCCACCCCCGTGTCAGCACAAGCCAAGCCCACGCAGCCCACCTGAGGGCAGTCCAGGACGTAGCCCCAGAAGCGCCTGAGAAAGCCGGCACTTTTCAAGATACGATCTCTGAAGTCAAGATCCCTGCAAAGCTTCGCAAGGCTGGAACACGAGCAGGGGCGAACTGTACACTGACACCTCCCGCATGTGCTCAGATCTTGTGCCAAAATCGTGCCACGAGGCCGTTCATTGTCGACACAGCAGAAGCACGGCAAAGTGAAGGATCGCCGCGAGATCATACTCTGGAGTTGCTCCGGCATAGAGGCCCAGGTGCGCAGGCAGTGCCGGCAAAACACATGGCCACTTGAAAACAAACCCGGCATCGAGCACCGAAGTTGGAGGCTGTTCCCAACCCAGGATCGACACACAGGGCACTCAAAGCATTTCCTATCCTGCAGAGCTCTGAAGATGTGTAATTTCCTTGCATTGCCTGTTGCTTCCACTGCTTCGACACACTGAGGCAGCTCCTCATCAGGGATCAGCTCAGCTTCCTGGCTGAGAAGCCGATCAACCGCCCGGGATAACGCACGATAGCAGCGCCAGCTCCGTATCTGGTCCAGCTGCAGGTCTGCTGCCACCAGCGCCTGCAGCGTAACCTTGACGTGAACGGTGCAAGCCGAGCCACTCCAAAAGCTGGCAATCGTGGCAACGAGATTTCCCCAGCGGCTGAGGTGGTGGTTGAAACTCTGACCTCCGCTTGTAGCAAGAAGTGCAGCAAAAATCTGGTCGAAAAGCACAGGCACTGTGTCAACTTCAGTCAGAGCATCCTGCATGATGCACTTCCCGAGGGACCAGGGCACTGTGAGGCGTACAGGTCGCTCCATTGTCTCACCGCGCTGTGCCAAAGTTGAACTGACCGAAGCAAATCGGTCAATCAACTTCAGCGTTGGACTTGGAGCTGCGGCGATCAGAAACCACTTGCTGCAAAGCTTGCTTCAAGCCCACAAGGATATTTGTATCCAAAGAGGTGATGACGCCCCAACTTCGCAAGGGGTCACTGTCACACGGACCGAAAACACATGATCGTGCGTATCTCTTTCCGCAAAAACAAACAAACTCGCTTTCACACCGAACAAAAGTGATGATATTTCGATCCACCACGAGAAGTCTATGTCAAACAAAACTCCTGTGAGGCATGGCTGTGGCTCCCCTAACCCTTGGTCTAAATTCTGAAAGTCCACCGCCCAGATCACAAGCACAAGCTTACCTGTGTCCTTGACTTCCATTGACCATGGAACGATTTTTTTGGGGGTTTTGCTTAGTAGGTCAACGCTCTTGGATTTCAAGCGCCATGGCCCTCATTGCTTGACCCCCGCAGCTGAGTCCGCTCTTTTTACAGCGCTTTAATCCCCGGCTCCAGTGGGGACTCCGGCTGCAGCTGCAGGACGCCTAGCTTCGAATCCCATGAAGAGAACCTGGGTGAGAAAGATAGATCAACCCCCTTGGACAGAGGTCAAACTTGTTTCAAATTGGATGTGCTGGCTGATTTTGTGCTTTGGTTGTTGCTTGACCGCCATCTCCAAAGGGAACCAATCTGACTCTCACTACACGTTTTCCAGCTGTCAGCTTCCATGGTTGGACAAGGGGCAGATGATAATATGCTTCTTGATCTGACATCAGAGACACCCTAAGAAAGGAACCGGTCGCAAATCCCCGGTGGCTGAGGTCGCCAATTTGCCCAAATAGACAATGCTCATCGCTCGCGGCTTCGTTCAGGACAAACAAACACACACACACACACTCACCCACGCACACACACACACACACAACACACACACACACACACACACACACACACACACACACACACACACACACACACACACACACACACACACACACACACACACACACACACACACACACACACACACACACACACACACACACACACACACACACACACACACACACGCACGCACGCACGCACGCACGCACGCACGCACGCACGCACGCACGCACGCACGCACGCACGCACGCACGCACGCACGCACGCACGCACGCACGCACGCACGCACGCACGCACGCACGCACGCACGCGCACGCACGCACGCACGCACGCACGCACGCACGCACGCACGCACGCACGCACGCACGCACGCACGCACGCACGCTCGCACGCACGCACGCACGCACGCACGCACGCACGCACGCACGCACGCACGCACGCACGCACGCACGCACGCACGCACGCACGCACGCACGCACGCACGCACGCACGCACGCACGCACGACGCACGCACGCACGCACGCACGCACGCACGCACGCACGCACGCACACACGCACGCACGCACGCACAAACGCGCACGCACGCACGCACGCACGCACGCACGCACGCACGCACGCACGCACGCACGCACGCACGCACGCACGCACGCACGCACGCACGCACGCACGCACGCACGCACGCACGCACGCACGCACGCGCACACGAGCACACGAGCACACGAGCACCAGCACGCCCACG